CATTAATGCCAGCGAGCATCATTTTCTTTCTGCATTTCTCAGCCATTTGGATTCAGCTAGGCAAATCATCTGTGGTGTTGCTTCTAGGTCCAAAATAACAGCGTGCCACAAGCCACCGGCCCTGGTGGAGCTGGTGCTGGCAGATACAGGGTCTTCATGCACGAGGTGTTTGCTGGCTGAAGTGATCTCCAAGCTTTCCATCCATGGCTGGGGGTAGGCGGGGGAGCTCAAGCAGTGCTGGGTGCCAGTTGGCCTGGCCAGTCCTGCAGTGGTTTTAAATGAGTCTGTGGTGCCTTGGGGATTCTCCGATGACCTCTCTAGGACTTGCCACTTGAAGCTTGGCTTAATGAACCTCTTCTCTCTTGGCAACTAAGGCAGATTCCCTAAAGCTGACAGATCTCAAAAGTTGTTGTCTAGGTTTCTCTCTGTCATTGTTTTTACCAACACTGAAGATACTCCAAATACCAAGACTGAGATAGTGTTTGAAAAAAACAGGCTGGCATTTCTCTTTCTGAGGACAAATTTCAGTGGGATTTAGTTTTCTAAATGCCTTTATGAATCTGGGTCTGAAAGGAGTTGAAGGTAGGTCAGAAAGGCAAGGAATTTTCCATGATTTTAAAATGAAGGGTACTGCTGTAGCACATACCTGGAGTTCAAACTCTTAGTTCAGTCATTTAAGGCAAATTTAGCTGCAGAAGAGAAGGCTTCCTTTTAAAGAAGGAAAAGGTGGAGAAAGTGATATCCAAAGTGCTTTTGGTTTGATTTCTACTACTAATGTGTCCCTTTACTGCATCTGTAGACTCTATAAAGTATTTAATCTGCAACCTCTTCAGAGATTTCCTCTGTTAGTGGCTCTTCTCTGACCAGGATAATTTCCCAAGTATTCATATGGGTCCAGGTGTTGTGACCTGACTGCCACTAAGACACTTCGTTTTCTGGAATGAATCCATTTTCTCTGTGAGTCAAGCTATCAGGAGGTAGGGTGAGGTGTATCCCCTGTGTCTCTGAGGCTTGTAAGCCCTACAGCAGCAGCAGGCAGTGGGGAATGTGATGAAGCTTCATTGGAGCTTTTGTTTTCCCCAGAAAATTCTTCATATCAGGCTGCTGAGCAGAGGCACCAAGCAGCCCTGACCGTTCTCTGCTGTCTCATCTCTGAGCTGTGTAGGAGTTTGCAAAGTCAGATTAATATTTAATGTACTTGGGGCTTTGATCTTTCAGTTGTATTCTGGATACATCTAAAACCTCATAAAATGCAACCAGAGGAGGTGATGCTGTCTATTCACTAATGCAGAGACTGGAGCACCCTCCTAATTTCAATTCCTTCTGCTATCTCAGGCCATTTCATTCCCCTCTCTGACTTGATTCTGTCAAGAATCCTTATCACCGGCCTTCTGGGTGCTCATGCTGAAACTGCCTAATTTCCAGGCTTTCAGCTGTGTATCTGAAGTATTTGGCTTGAAGGCCTCTTTGTCTGATCTTCTGGATCCTGATGCTCCCCTGCTACAAAGAAAAAGTGGGACACCCTGTCTAGGATGTCCTGTAGGCTGGTGGCCAGCTGCTCTCCTGGGCTGTGGGGTGGGAGCTGCAGTCTAAGGCAGGAAGGACAGATTTCCTCTGTTTGCTCAGACCACTGAGCATCAATGTGGCTGTTGTCCAGGATGGTCCCACTCCCTATCCCTCAAAAGTGGCCACTGATGAGGGCTGTACACCAATGTTCAGGTGTCTAGAAGAGGCGTCCGGGCACGAGTCTCTGCCATGTCCTCCTGGCTGGCTGAAGGCAATCACAACTCAATGATTTCCACATAGGAAGCATTGGTTCCTAACTTGACTTTGCAAAGCCTGTTCTTGCTATGGACACCATCACATTCCAGTCTACCAGTGCTGACTATTCAAGTGCCAAGACTGGCCCTAGAAGCCTTTGAAGGGAAAATCTGGAAAAGTACTCTTCTCGGCAACCTTTCTCTTGGTTAGTTTTTGTTGCTCCCTCTTTTGCTTGCTGACTGTTGTGAATCATGGACTTGGCAAAAAGAGACAGGACTGTCCACTGTGGATACTGTGAGCCACAAAGGACACCGAGACACAGTGCCTTGTACCTTGGGGTTAAGAATCTCCTTCTGGGGAGGTGTGGCCAAATTCAAGCTTAATGTATGTGAAGTAATTTGCTTGGTATGTACATGAGAATATCTGGGAGAAAAGTGCTATCACAGAAATCTGATACTTCAAAACTACATCAAGACTCTGGTCAAATAGTTTGTATAACTTTGGAAAATAGCTGTAAATTGGCCAGTGACCTGACCTGGTTTCTAGTAGTTTGGGCTGGCTCTGTGCATAAGTAAAGGATGCAGTAGTCCAAGTCAGCAGAGGACAGCAACACAGCACATGTTTTCCTGCTGGTTTTATCTGTCAGAGCCCTGGGGAGCTGGGATTTACATTCAGTTTTCCATTACTCTTTCGTTTCCCTTCAACTACTGCTGTTCTCGATGTCCACCTTTGTGATGTGCCGCCTTATCCAGCTCTGGTTCCTCATCCTTGGGTGACAAAGTTCAATTTTGCCTGCAATCTTGAGAAGCCTTGAGTGATGTTGCTGCAATTGTAACAAAATTTAATGTGGCCTAAATATTTGAGCAGCCAAGGTTTGTACTTTTGTGGTTTTCTGTGCTCCTAGAAATACCTGAGCTATATATTTTAAAGCTGATTCAGATATGTATATGTGAGCTGCAGTCATCTTAGTTGTGGTAGCATAAGCAGAATTTTGGGAGCTGAGAATTCTTGAAAGGAGAAAAAAAAAAAATACTGTAAGCATCTGTATATAAGTGAGTGTTGTCCCTACATTGTCCCTACAGAACCTGCACCCTAAGCTATGAGAGGAGACTTTGTAAAAGACATTAGTGCTTAGTAGTCTGACAGGAATGTTGGTGAGGGTACAAAATGCATCTCTAGTAACATTGATTATATTGTCATCTGCTAGACTAAAAGGTAGTAGGAAATTGGAACAGAAACCTTGAAAATAAAATTGTTGTATTAGCTTAGTGGAAACTTCCTATTTTTGGTCCACACTCTCCTGGGTCTTTCTGGTTGGCAAAGCTTTTCTATGAAGTAGTTCATGCCCGTCCTGTTACAGGAGAATATTGTGGCTGTGAAAATCCCCAGACAGTCCCTGTTCTTCCCTTGCCCCATGGGAGGATTACCTAGCACCAGTGGTTTTCCCTAGGGTTTACTGCCCCACTGCAGCCTATTAAACTATGACTATCGAGATCCCTTGACCCAGGAGCTCTTCCCAGGTCCAAGCATAGACCTCACCTTTTTCAGGCATGGTCCTTCTGCTGCACCTCACTCTCCTTTGGAAGGAAAACTGGGGAATAGATTTGGGTCAAAAAGGGCTCAGAGCATACACGAGTCTGTATCCTGAATCTGGATGATCAGTGAGAAGTTTGGGGTATACTGTGGAGCACCCCTGTCCTGCAGTGTAGACGTAGCATCATATGGTGTAGTGTGTGTGTTGTGAGGCAGAGCAACCTCTCCCATAACTCATGCCATGCCCTCCCCACCTGAGGATGGAGACAAAAATCTGCGCCCATCTGACCCCCCTGCTGCAGTCTACTCATTTTATCTCCAAGAGGATAACGGAAGCACAAACTGGACAGCAGTTCAGAAGGATATTTTATTCTCCCAGTTCCAAATTCATCTACTTGGTCTTGCTGCTAAGACATCTGTTAAACATATCGGAGTTGATGGTGGAATTGGAAATTAGAGCAAGCCTTTTTAACAGTATAGGCAAAACTGAATTTTGCTGCATGTGGAGGGCAGTCTGCCTTCCTCTTGCTCCATTCCTTAAGTTTTGGTATCTGCTTCATCAGCTCATTCTCACCCTGAAGCTCCTTGTTATCCTGTCTCCTGCTGAAGGACAGTTATGCCTTCAGGCCATCCCCAAAATAACCCTTTTGGATCCCCAGCATGTTGAGACATACAGACCCATGTACTGGCCCCACACCTGTGCCTAGTCCTACTTGGTTTATTTTTGGAGGGAATCGGGGAGTGAAGAATAACGTAGCCCAATCATCTTGCTCTAGATGTAAAATGCATGTGTCTGTATTGTAGCTATAAAAGATGATATACAGGTACTTTCTCTTGAAACCCTGATATGACTTTCAGCTCGTTTGTGTAGAGCAGAGCCTTGGTGAAAGAAAGACTGGAAAAACATACCAGAAGTACATCAATAACACTTTTGTCAAAGGGTATTTCTACAGACCCCCTAAATATTGACTTTTGATGGTCCTTTCACACAAACTCCATTTCTGTACTGTTGTTTTCTGAGAGATCTCTTCACAGCCTAATATCAGACAAGCCATTTTACTTGTAGGCTTAAACAAGGGTATGTTTCAGAGGTGAATCTTTTCAGGATTTATTGAGGACTCTGATGTAACTTCATTGCATGATATAGTGAAATATTATCTTCCTTTCACCTTCAATGAGTTACATGAGGGTTACTGTATCAATTTGCTGGACACAATTTCAGTGCTCAGGTAGATGGGAAGTGAAATTTCAGGCCTTTAGATTGGTCTCATCATCTACTGAATTTCCTCTTTAGAGCAGTATGCTCTTTTTCGAAGTGGCAACTTAGTACTAACATCTTTCAGTGCAAGCCTGTGTAATATATTTTCTCCTTTGACCTTTCCAGATCCCTGCCTCCAATAAGAAACAGTGAACACAGAATTGCCTATTATTAGAATTGCATAATCTCCTAATTCTTAACTAAATTTCTTCTGAGCTTTATCTTGCCCAGTCTAACACTAAAACAAGCTGCTGAATATGCTGATGCATGTTTCATGTATGTCTGTGGAACATACAACCTGCTGGGAGGACCTGCACACATTCTTCCCATGCTGTGTGGTTTGTGACACACTAAAATATATTCTATTTGTAGTAGGATACTGCATATGTTCAGAAACTGTTGAAAGTCTTTGGAATTCTTATAACTGTTTATTCATTCTTTTGTTTAGGAGTCGGTGACCTGTAAGTGCTCATTATGAAGAGAGATCTGGTTTTCTTGGTGACTCTAATTAGCCTTGCCTTCCTGTCACTGCTAAGGTCTGGATATCCTCAACATATTGCAGAAGAATCCTGCTCTGTTCAAATTCTTGTTCCAGGCCTCAAAGGTAATGTGGAAGCTTATTCCATCATTGAAATATTAATCCTTTCTTTCTAACAGGCTCATTTGCACCACTGACAGTTTCTAACAGAGACAAAAGAAGTACCTTTCAGCTGACCTCTTATTTGTTCCCTTTGTAGCCTCCTTAAAAATGGAGTTTTAAGGCCCATAAGATGCCTGTTAAAATAAACATGATTCAGAGAATACATGCCAAAGTTTCCCAGACTTGCCCCTGATCAGTAGTGCTTGTTACTCTGATATACTCCCTGGTTGCTTTCTCTGTGTTTACACTCAGGAGTGGTCCACATACCCAAAGACTGTAAAATCAGGCCCTACTTTATACCTGGAGAGGTTTTCATTACCATTTTGCAATTTAATGGGAAATATTTTGTATTTTCTGCTCTTATGTTTGTCTTCCCTTGATTTTTAAATGCTCAAGTGCCTTTTAGAATAGATAAAAAAATAGGGTTTTGGCATTTCTATAGTTTCTGTGGACAAAATCCACATTTTTACAAAATATACTCCCAAACTATTGCCCCCAAAAGATGGCATAATAGATTATTGATCTTTTTGTAGCAAAATACATACCTTAGATAGGAAATCAACAACTGGGAAGAATTAACATTTTAAAATAACAGCGTCTATTGTGGTGTGAAATCCCAGCCCTGTTTCATCAATAACAGTAAGGCCCATTATGGAGTCTATGGTATTTCTACTAGAATGTAACACATGTGAGCGTGGGGAAATACCTGTTAACTAGGGACAAAAAAAAAAAACAAACACAAAACCCACCAGTTTTCCATTAATAATAATAAAACAAAGCATTGTTTGAGAACTGCACAACTAACCTTCCATTTTTTCTGGTAGTTACGCATTGTAGTATCACAGAACTCACCTAACAGTGTCGATGCCACTAATGTTATCTAGTACAAACCTGGGCTTTACAGTTGCCTGGGGACCATCGTATGGACTGCAGGTGCTGTCTGTGCTGCTTAATTGATTGGTGAGGGCAAGGCTCAGTTCTGTCCTGCCATTGTTCATACAGTTAAACTGTGAGCACAGCCAGGCCACAGATTTGTCTGTGGTGTAAACTGCCCTCTCCAGACATTTCCCAGTTTGGATTTGGCTGCCCTGTGTTGGAAGCAAGAGAATTGGGCTGTAGGGATGTGGGTTATGCTTGGACAATTTGTTTCAAGACCAAAAAAGCTCTTCTATTTTGTTTATTATTATTATAGATGTAGATTTGGATGCCCAAACTGAACCAAATTCTATATTTTTAAATTTTATTTCAATAAGTGGCCTGTGAAGTCTTAATAAAATTTACACCTTCTGTAGATGTTCTAGTTAGAAAGAACAATGCTATATCCAGGTCTTCTGAGGTCTGACTAAGCCTTGAGTAAAGTTGTTTCACTTGTTTGATGAATTTGCTGTGAAATAGGCATAAGATAGTGCTGTTGATGTGACTCACAGAGAAGAACACGAATTAAATATATGTTGTCCAAAGTTACATGGAAGAACAGTCAAAGGGTCAGCACTGGAGACTGGAGATTTGACATGATTTTTTTCATTTCAAAGAAGTTGACAGGCTTTGAGAGGTTTTGTAACTTCCTTTGCCTTAGTTCCCTTATTTGTGTAATCAGTCAAAAGTAGCATTTGTCATTATCATTTTTATGTGAGGAACCTTATTATTATTATATGCAGCAGAGTTTTTAAAAATGTATAAATAGTGCAGGACCCTGGCCCTTTGTCAGAAGGCAATCCTGAGCCAGGAAGCAACAGAGAGGCTTGAAAACCATCATGTGTTAATGATTTCACTCTGCTTCATGAGATGTAAGCCTTGCAAAAGTGAGAGAGATTGATGTACAAATTCAGTGAAGCACAAAATGGCCTGATACAGCCCTAGTTAATGTGAAATCCCTAAAAAGCTATCAATGCTCCAGCTACTCTGTCAGGGCGATCGGCTCAGAGAATTGGTAATGAGATACTGCTGTCCCTCACTGGCACAACTCCAATCCATTTTGGTGGCCAAGGCTTCCTTTAAACTGAGCATATATGTGGCCACGTGCCCAAATTTCGGCTCCCACGCAGTAGGATTTGCTCACAGCGGCTGTTAGATCTGCCCCATCTCCCCTTCTGCTAGGCTGCCAGCAATATCTCCAGTGGTAGAGGAACAGAGCCCTGCACTGCTGTCAGGCACGAGCCTGTTGGGATTTGGGAAAAATAGGTACAGGGAAGAAATGAGGGAGACCATGGAATATGTGAAAGGGAAAAATAGGAGAGGGTTAAGCCTAAGAGGTGGTGCAGAAAGTGGAGCCCAAATAGGGTTCTGAAGGAGAAAGACACAAGGGAAAAGAATCCAAAAATGAGGAAGTGTAATGGAGAAATTTTAGAAGAACAGGAAGAGATAAAGGGAAAACAGAAAAAAAGGGCACAAAGAATGAGACTGAGTGGAGAGACTGGAAACTAAAAAAAAAAAAAAAAAAAAAAAAAAAAAAAAAAAAAAAGAGGGAGAAATAAGAAAATTACACAAAACCAATTAGGACCCCATAGAATAAAAGGGGAAATTGGAAGGGGGCTGAGATGAGAATGGAGGTGGAAATGGAAGATGAAGAAAGACGGTAAAGACACTGAGAGTAGAAAAAGGCATAAATGAGTTTAAGGTCAGCAGCTTCGGTCTTAGGGACTGATTTTTTTTTTTTTTTTTTTTTTTAAATCTCAACAGTATAAAGGAGTAAGATGAAATGCAGAAGGAAAAATACCGTGCCTCTGAGAATCTGGACAGCAGGATGATCCGTGTTTTAGAAAGCTGACAATATTAATAATGGGAGAAGTGTGTTGTGTGTGAAGAAGGGGTGGATGATGAATCCTCAATGCATTGTTCACTCGTATTTTTCCTAAAGCCCAGTTCCTTTTGATAGGCCTATGAGATTGAAGTTACTACTATTGTGGATAAAAAAATAACATGGAACAATCCTTCAAAGCTTAAATTCTTTGTTTGCCACCTTATTTTGTCTCTCTTCTAGAATCTAAAGCAGGAATTGTCTTAATAGTCTCAGTGACATACAATATATAAAGTTGATGCTATATAAGTAAAATAAACCCCATTTTTTTTTATACCCACCCTTGATGCGTCTACTCACAGAGGGAATATGAGTAATGGAAGAAAGTTATCACCATCCAAAGAATGCTTAGTAGCTCACGTAGTTAATATTTGGTGTGTTATCTTCATTACAGTAGATGGTACAGCTCAGGATAGACAGGATGCAAACCTAATCAGAGACAAATCCTGTGCCAAAGAATTCACAAAAGGAGGCAAATTGACAGCAATGGTAAGATATATCGTTTGAATTACAAAAGATCTCTCTCGGAGATGACGGGACACGCAGCTTGCAGTGGTGTCAGGGTTGTTCCTGATGCCTGTGATCCTGCTGCTGCTCTGTTCAGTGCAAGGGCTGGATTTCCTCTGGGTGCGTGGAGCATCACAACGCCGTGGAGCACTGCTGGGCACGTCTCACCCTGCATTGCGCTGAGGAAGAAGGTGCTCTCTCATGCTGTAGGGCTGGAGCAAAGAGCCATCTGGGAAGTGATCGGGAGGAGACTGAGCAGGAGGAATGGCCGCAAAGGGACTGGGACTGGGGGAAGAAGCTGTGCGGGAGCAACTGGGTAGGGACCTCAAGGCACTGATCTCAACCTTCTGCTCCGAAGTGACTTGGTGTAATGTGCAGCACAGGGGCTGGAGACCAGAAGAGGAGGGCAGAGATGTCTTTCTCTAAGTTTCTTTGTTTGTTTTTCCTAATCAAGGAATCAAAAGTTAGTGTGTTAATTGGTGATAAATTAAATTGATTGAAATTCCTTGACAGAAATCTGTTTTGTTGCCCACGACTCCTGCACAGGCTTTGCTGCTTCATCTTGCACAGTGTTCAGGGTACATACAACAATAATAGGGACTTAAACACGGCAAAACTGAACTGGACCACTGATTAGTCCCTCTCGGTCAAGATCTTGCTGCTTAAAACAGCTGATAACAAAAAATGCAGAAGGGTCTGTATCTGGGCCTGTAATGGGGTAATCTCCTCCCAGGGAAAGTTTCTTAAACACCGACACTAAGGAATGCAGTGTCATCTTATTAGAGGAATAAATACAAGTGAGTGTAATGGCCTGAAGCAAGAGTGATCTATTTTATTGATCCCTAATGCACAGCTTTCACTGTGAAGAACGTGTAAAGCAATAGGCTGTAATAGCCTGCTCTCAGCCTCCAGAGAGCAGGGAAAAGCCATTGTCAGGATTTATCTTTGGGAAGCAAAGAACTCATAACCAGCCCTGGGGGGCGGGGGGGGGGGAAGACAATCATAGAAAGCCTATTGGTTACCTGATAATAAAAAAAGTGACGTTCTCAAATGTGCCAAATACTAGCCAGTTTCATACTAACAATATTATTCACTGGGGATTATGTGAAGTTTGTCCTCATTAAGGTCAGAGAATGGCCTATTTTTGCATCTCTGCAGTCAGAGAAGATAGTCTGGAGCCTGCTGGCAGTCTGAAGAAAGAAAATATAACAGATGGAGAACCGAGTTCAGCCCACAGCCACCTATGTCCGCAATAAGGAGAGAGAGAGAGCTGGAGGCTGCATATTTGAAACGTGTTATGTTGTGGCTTGTTTTTACATGTCTTCACTATGGTCCCTCTCTGAACCACAGCTGCCAGCTACTCCAGAGAGCAGAGTTTGGGGGGTGCATGGTAACCGTTGACCTTCCTGCTATGGTGCTCCCTTCATTTTCCTGGAGAGCAGCTAATGCTCACCCTCCTCTGTAAAAATACAGTGCTGGGGCAGCAGGTGTGCTGTGCTAGCTCAGGCTTTTAGATCCTGGCATTTTATTTTCTATGGAAGCCATAGAACTTTCTTCTCCTTTCTATATTTTTTTTTTGTAAAGGTGGCTATGTAAATCATTCTTTAAACTTCTATTTGTTTAAGAGATTTTAATTTTATGTCAATGGCGAACTATAGGAGTAGTACAATAGTAGGGAGCGAAACAAGCTAAGCATTCCCCTGATTTCCATTGAAAGGCACCAGGGAGGCAAATGTTTACGGAAACTGATGTTTAAATATGCTGAATTTAATAATGCACCATGAGCCATGTACAGGTAAGTACAATGCACAGTTGTTTGTACCACAGAGACTAAAAGGCACAGTATATAACTGAGAATATGGATTAGGAGATACTTTTTCATGCTTAAAAGTGATCCTCTAAATGATGGATATAGCAATGCCTTCCTATAGGCCTCTGTAAGTAGTATAATTTTTTTTTTTTTTTAGTTTGAGTTATAGTTAAGCCATTTTCACCTGAGATTTAGGCATGTCCTTAGCGGATACTCAGGAAGTGTTTGGTGAACACAGACCCAGAAATTTATATGCTAAGTTGGGGCCTAATTCTGAAGCTTCTGCTTGAGTGAATAGCGCTGTTGGGCTTTTTGGCGGTTGATGATATGAGTAATATCCACAAAACTAGACCCATTGTATAAGAATTCAGTAATGTACTGGCTTTGGTTTTGTCGGTGTTTATGTCAATTGCAGGAAACTGTTCTTGGTACATCAAGTAAAGCTGTTAGGTCAGATTTCATCTGCTTTTATTTTTTTCCTCCTCTTATTATAGTAGGTTTTTATTTTATTTGGGGAGAATAGTGCTCTCATCACTGCCACCAACAGAAAACAATCCTGGTTTATTATTATTATTCTTATTTTTTCCTTTTGTATCAACAGGGGAGGCTGGAGAAAAGGGAGAGAAAGGTGCTCCAGGTCGTCCAGGCAGAGTTGGGCCTCCAGGAGAAAAAGGTAATTTTGTTAAAGATGTTTTGAAAGTCATTCCTGATGAAATGCTGCCTTTTCTTGTGAGATGATGGGGATCTTCTCTCCCTTTGCTGGGTGACTAAATTATCCTTGGGCATTTTTGTGCACTGTTATTGTGGTTTAAACCGAGCCAGCAGCTCAGCCCCACGCGGCCGCTCGCTCTCTCCCTTCCAGCAGGATGGGGGAGAGAATCTGAAGGGTAAAAGTGAGAAAACTCATGGGTTAAGACAAAGATAGTTTAACAGGTAAAGCAAAAGCTTCTTCACAAGCAAATCAAAACAAGGCATTCATTCACCCCTTCCCATGGGCAAGCAGGTGCTCAGCCATCCCCAGGACAGCCGGGGTCTGTCACACATAGTGGTGACTTGGGAAGACAAACACCATAATTTTAAATGTCCTCCCCTTTCTCCTTCTTCCCTCAGATTTATATGCTAAGCAGGATGCCATATGGTGTGGGATATCCCTTGGGTCAGTTGGGGTCAGCTGTCCCGTCTGTGCCCCCTCCCAGCTCCTTGTGCACCCCCAGCCCACTCACTGATGGGGTGGGGTGAGGAGCAGCAAAGGCCTTGGCGCTGTGTAAGTACTGCTCAGCAGTAACTAAAACATCCCTGTGTTAAACGCTGTTCTCAGCAGAAATCCAAAACATAGCCCATAGTAGCTACTATGAAGAAAATTAACTCTATCCTAGCCAAAAGCAGTACAACCATATGTACTCATTTGTAGACTAACCATTGTGTTCTGGTCAAAAAGATTCATTTTGGAAAAAAAAAAAAAAATCCTGATTTTTTAGAAAGATCTCTGTGAAGAAAGGCATCACAATGTCTTCTTCATAATTTGCCTTCTGCAAATGAAAACCTCATATTAGATCAGAGAGAAAAACTCACGAGTCTCAATTTTCTTGTTTTCTTTTGTTTGTAAATGTGAACACTCACAATACCTTAATTAAAACCATTGAGGGAAGGCAGTCAGCCATAATAAGCAGACATGGCCATGAGTGATTCCACATTTTTTGGATCACAGTTCAGTAGTATTTATGGAAGGATGGTGGCAATGCTGTTTGCATTGTAGTTCAAAAATTTTGAGCTCTTGAGAGGAATGGTACTCAAGTGTATTCAGTTATACAGCTGACAGAAATGTAACATTTCTGTACTGAAAGAAATTCTGTCTTTTCACATTTGTTTTTCTCCTGAAGCAAGGAGGAAATTTGACTTTCATAAGTTTTCCAGGAGGTGCACAATCTGAAAAATTCACATTAGGAGTAGTGAAACCCTTTTATTTCAATATTGAAATTAAACATATGACATTCCTATCATCAGAACAATGAAGCTAGTTTTTACTGAACTGAATTTACAAGCTTCCTTTCAAAGCAATCACAATGGTAATTTATACTTCCTTATGATGATGCATGATCCATTATGTCGTTATGTAGGTTTTTTGGGCAATTATGGGAGTCTGATACCTGCAGTTTTCCCTGGGACCAAAATCCATAGCTAGAGCTCTTCCCCCTACAATGCATTGAAAAATTTATAACTCCCATGAGGGGTGTATGTGTTCAGTGTCTTTCCCTTATGGAGCTGTACCCTTCAAGGACAACTCATAAAAAATATTGGAAACTGAAATTTCAACTCTTGCAAGGTAATGCAGCATGAAAAGTTAAAGTCCCACAGAATAATTTAGGTTAAAAGGTCATAAGGAGCTCATCTAGTCCAATCTCCTGCTTGAAACAGGGCAGACTTCAAATTTAGATCAGGTTTCTCAGGGTCTTGTCCAGTAGACTTTTGAAAATCTCTAAGGATGGAGATTCCACATCCTTTTTGATCAATGTCGTCATGAAAGACCTCTTCCTTAGGGCCAGCTGAAAATTTTCTTGTTGTGACTTGCATTTGTTGCCTCTTGTCCTTTTGCTTTGTGTCTCTGAGAAGAGAAGGCTGCATTTTCTCAGCAAACCACTTGTAGGTGGTGGAAGACTGGTTAGGTCCTCTCCTTACCTTTCTCTGCATCAAGCTAAATAAAACCATCTTTCTCAGCTGGACCCCAGTTTGCTTCTCTTGTACGGGGGCCAAAAAATCTCAGGGTTGCAAAGGAGTTTTTTAGCCAGCCACTGGCCAGCCTTCATCAACTCATCTCAGGTGAGGAACTTAGCATCTGGCTGAACTCATTATATTCCTGTCAAGACACTCCTGCAGCTTGTCGAGCTCCTCCTGACTGGCAGAATTGCCCTCCAGCCACTAACCACTCCTGCCAGCATGGGGTTTCTTGCAGACTCACAGAGGATCCTTCCACTTCTTCCTCCCTGGCACTGATGAAGGACTGGTTCCTGAGGAATGGCACTCATTATCAGCTGCTGATTAGATTTTGGCAGCCTTGCAACAGTATCAGATAGCTTTATCAGCACCCTTGAATGCCTTCTGGCCAGTACCATAGGCCTATGTTTGGCCAGGTGAAGTAATCCCTAATTCAATTGTCCTCTACCATTAGTAGCATGTCCTACCCAAATCTTTGCTACCAGACATGAAGAACTAAATACCTTAGCCTTTCTTGTGTCCTTTGTCACTAGTTTGCCTCCCTCCTGAGCAGAATGCCCATGTTATCCTTGGCCTCTTTTTTTACTGCTGCCTTACCTGTACTGTCTTTCATGTTGTCCTTCATACACCTAGCTGAGTTCAACTCCAGCTGAACTTTGGCCTTCCTCACTTCATACCTGCATGCCCGGGAGTACTTCTATAGTACCCTTTGGTAGCCTGTCCCAGTATCCCTCTCCTGCAAGCTTCCTTTCTGCATTTGGTCTCAATCAACAGCTCCCTGTTCAGCCAAGATGGCCTTCTACCATATCTGCTCATTTTCCTGCACATTGCAATAGATAGTTCTTATGCTTTAAGGAAACTGTTCCTTAAGACTGAGAAGACATTTCAGGGTCCCTCTGCACTTCATAGCCGCCTCCAGCAGGATCCTGCTTATGAGTTCCTAGAACAAGCCAAAGTCCAAAATTCCAAGGCTTTTGTTCTGCCTTCCTCACTTCCCTCAGCATCTTGAAAGCTGTCATCTCATGAAGGCAGTCATGGTGACTACAGCCACGGCTGCTGTTGACTATCATATTCACAGCCAGAAGGTGTGTGAATAACAGGTCTGGAAGACTACCATCTCTAGTTGGAAACCCAGTACCTGCATTTGATAATTGTCTCTGATGCACTTTCTGGATTGATTACTCTTTATGGTGCTGCTTTCCCAGAAGATGCTGAAATAGCTACTCTCCAATTATGGGGCTTCTTACAGTTGTTAAAAGAACTCTTCACATCTGGTTTCGCTTCTTGACAAGACAGTCTGTAATTAATGCCCACCATGATGTTCCATTTGCTGCCCCTCCTCTCTAAATCTTGTTTACATGCTTTTGACAGACCAGTTACCCGTTAGGACACAAAGCTCCATGCATTCAAGGTGCCACTGTGCAGAACATAACCCTTGCCTTGTCTTCCCTGCCTGTCCTTCCTGAAGAGCCAGTATTCATCTACTGCAGCACTTCCATTGTTCTGGCTGTCCCATCATACCTGGGTGATTGTTGTCATTAAATGGACTCTTGGTTCCTTCCATTTGTTTCTCAGACTGTGATCAGTTTTGTACAAGTGTTTGAGATGGACACCTGGTCATATTGCTTTCTCATGGGTAGCTTGAGAGCCTCTCATTGCACTATCCCGCAGGTTGGCATTTTGTTAATTCAAAATGTTTTGGACCATCTGAGAAGTGGAAGTACTCTCTTTGAGTCAGGCCAATCCATGATGTAACAATTTATATATTTTATACTGTGAAATTGCATTTATTTGAAAAATCATTCTCATAAGGAATGCTTGATTAATACTAACAATAAATTTCCAGTTTTTCGTACCTCTAAAAGTCCAAAATTCTGATGAAACTGAAACAAGAAACACTGAATTGAAAATTCACTGAGGGAAAACATACTTGAAACAGAAAAGAGATGAAAGAAAATTGAATATGAATGCATTCTATATCAGTACTTTTACAGGCAGTGCTTTCAGGTTAAACAGACAAAATTTCTTACTGCTTCTGCAGCAAAATATTTTTTCTGCTTTCCTCTGTGAATCCAGATTTACTTGATGTGTGTATTTTCTTGAAATATTTGGTAAACAACTGTTTTTTGGCATAGTAAGAAATGTCTACATTTTCCTGTTTAAAACATATTGTAATTAACTAATCCTTGCATTAGTGCTGTACACTTTGTAGATATTTGTCTTCATCAATTCCTTCCCACAAATGTTTCTTCAAAGAAAAATAAATTTTTACCTTAAAACCAATTTGGACTATATGGTGCCAGATTTCATCATGGTGCTATATTCAGTGTATTTCCTGAGTGTCCCAGTGTTGACTGGAAAAGCAAACAGACTTCACAGATGTAATTTCTACCATATGGAAGGAACACAGAAAGATATTCAGCCTTGACCTAGAAAAACCTTTAAGTCTCCTGACCTTTCAGTCTCTGGTTAACCTCTACAGACAGTGTGTAGTACCCAGACCTGAAGTTACATTCATGCATAAATACCTTTTTAGACTCCCAAGCTGAATGAGGGTGCCTCAACTGTATATTCTCTTCCAGAAGCCCAAGGGTTTTCCTGTTTGTTATCAAGAAGATGGAACTTTGAGGCAAAAATAAAATATAACAATATTATTGGGAAAAATCATGTGAACTGCTAACACTGAAGTATCCAACACACTGACATGTTTTTCATATTTGGTTGTTCATCTTATTTATGGAAGGGTAAGAACTGAGTATCATTTGGAGTTTGATAATTTGTTCATGATGTTGTTCTCAGAAATGACCAGTTCATCACCTTTTTGCTGGACAGATTATCTGATATCCATTTGTGACCTGCTATTAGCTTTGCTTTCTTGCTTTGTTTTTGATCTTTTGATGGCCATATACAACTGATGTCCTTTAAAGTGCTGGCCAAGTATTTTAAAATCTGGGTTGGTGT